TTGCAGGGGCTGGGCGATCACAAAGAGCAAGACAAGGGTGAGTGAAATAAACTCCACTTCCCAGTGTTGCATGTCCCCACTTTCTGAGACTACATGACCTAAGTGATCTAGACTTTTCAAGGGTCAAGCTGAGTTACAGAGGCCGGAGAAGGAGGTCATGTAAAATTTTAACTTTTCCTCTTCAACCACTCTCAGTCTTCTTGTAAGATTTTAATGGGGAACCTTTTTGAAACTGGCAGATGGACTCTTAAACTGATAGAGTGGCTCTCCTAGGTGGTGAGACCCCAAGGCCATAAAAATTGCTCTCAAGCTGAATTCACACAGCTCAGAATCTGCCTTGAAGGTGAAGGGTGGTGCATTGTGCATATCTTAGCCAGATTTTATGAAGAAAACTCCCATTGTCCTTGTCCTCCCACTGTCTCTTGTCTGATACCTGCCTCTCATGAAGGTCACGGCCATCAGGGAGCCCAAGGGCACCTGTGCAGGTGTTCAGGCAAGTTCCATCATGTTGCTGGCCAAAATCTTGGCCTTCTCTGCCCATCGAAGGTAAACAAAAAATACAAAGATAGAGTGGGCAGGCAGTAGAAAGGTGGCTTTAATTCTCAGCCAGCAGAGAGGGGCACAAAGTAGGCTCATGCCTCAAAAACAGCCCCCTGTCTATGAGGAATCTAGGGGCTGATATAACCTGAGGCCTCCCAGTCAGGAGTCAGTGATGAGAAACAAGGGTGTTAGGATCTTGATTCCTTTCTCTTGCATTGCTTCAAAGTCAGTCATAGACTGGCTCAGTAACCCATCCATTGAGCCTGGCAGTTCAGTGACTCAGTGGCCTTCTTTCTGAAGGGTGTTGTAAGGGTAATCACCAGATACAGGATGTATTTAGCATAGAATCGAAGAAAAATAGGTGTAAAGTGTAGCCCTTTAGAGTTAGGGGGCAGAAAAGCAAACACTTACAGACATGCAGAGTTCAGAGCAGTTAAAGTAAAAAGAAACGAGGAATGTTCAGGCCTGCTCACTCTTCTCTTTATCTTCTTTGTTCTCAGGAAAGGGATAGAGAAAAATTCATTTTTTTCCCCCAACATATGGTCCAGAGAAATTTCATTGTCTAAACATACAACATTTACAACAAATGACTTTAACGTGGCCCAGCTATTCCACACCTAGGTCTACATCAGAAGAAAATGAACACTAATTTGAAAAGATACATGTACACCAAAGTTTATTATATCCTTCCTTACAATAGAAGAGATATGGAAGCAACCAGTGAGCAAGATGCACATGGTTCCTGTCTTCATAGCTCTTGCATGGAGTATGGGATAAGCAAGCATTTGAACACAATAGTAATCCTCAGAAATACTGGTAGCTACGTGTTTGTTGAGGTGGAAATATTCTCCCAGCATATGGTATAGAAAAGGAAGGTTACAATATAGCATAAAGATTGACTCAATTTGTATAAATTAAAAAAAATACTGATGTACATAGGCTCATCTAAATATATGTGTATTATATGTATATATTTCACAGTATATAACACATATAATATATATGTTATAGAAGTTTAGGTAGAACAACAAAGGCAGACTATGAACAGTATATATGTCTATTGACACACTTATGGGTGTCCTCTAATTTCATTTTGGTACTCAGTTTTACAATTTCCATACTGGTTTGCCTCGAGTGTATATTTACAAAGAGAAAATATTAATAATGCTCTTTCAAAGCAGGGTAACCCAGACATTAACTTACCATATGCCCAAGTGTCCCTTCAAGTTCCTCCCTCTTCTTCCAAAGCCATGTTTCTTCACAATTTCCCCATCGTACCTTAGATTCCAGTCATAGGCAAGGCATGTATAGCCAGGTTTCTTGGGTTTCGGTGCCTTGACAAGTTCTCCCTCACTGTCTGGGAAACATTTTCACAGCTTTCCACGTGATCTGTCTACTTTAGCTGGCTCAGGATTCATCTCGGGTGTCTTTACTGAAAAGTACTCCTCTCCCACCTCCTTGCCATCAGACTATGACAAATGCCTCTCCCTTTTACCACCACAGCCCAGTGTGGTTTGTGTCCAGTGAATCAATTCATCATGTAAATGGAAAGATAAGTTTACCATTACATTCCTCCTTCCCTACCCTGTTCTCTCTCATCAGCAGCTCATCACTTTTTAGTCTCATCCTCATTCACCTGGTCCCACTTGCACCAGCCTCCTTGTTTACTTGGAAGGACATAGACAATGCCTTTTGGGGGCTTTTGCCCTGGCCTTTTCCTCTCCCTGGTCTTTATTGCCCAAGATAGCCACAAAGTCACTCCCTCTTTTCTTTAATTAAGTCTTTGCTTAAATGTCCTGCATTCATAAGGCCTTCCATCATTATCCTCTGGGAAGGAAAGACTCCCCGTTTCTCATAACTCATAAGGTTCTCGCTATACTCTATAATTGAATATTTGTGGTTAGTATGAACCTTCCATCCTCACTGACCAGAATGTAAGCCCCGTAAAACGAGGGTCCTGGGTATTGGCTCCTGATGTGGGCCTTGCACTCACAACGATGCCTGAAATAACACAGGGAGTGAATTAGTACCTGTGAAGGGGGAAAAAAGCATAACACCAAAGAATTTATGTCCATTTTTGCAATTAAATAAAACAAATCCAGACTAATGTAAGAAGGAGCTTGATTTGAAATGACTATGGGGATAGGGTCATCTCACACACTACCTAAAATACGCTGAGCATTCTTCAAGCTAGGCTTCAACAATACATGAAACAAGAATTTCCAGATGTTCAAGCTTCACTAAGAAAAGGCAGAGGAACAAGAGATCAAATGGACAGCATCTGTTGGATCATAGAAAAAGCAAGACAATTCCAGAAAAGCATCTGCTTCACTGACTAGGCTCAAGCATTGTCTTGTGTGGATCAGAACAAATTGTGGGAAATCCTTCAAGAGATGGGAATACCTGGCCCTCTTACCTGCCTCCTGAGAACTCTGAATGTAGGGAAAGCAGCATGAGTTAGAACCGGACAAGAAACATCAGACTGGTTCCATATTGGGAAAGGGGTATGTTAAGGCTGTATGTTGTCATCCTGGTTATTTAACTTCTATGCAGAGTACATCATGAGAAATGCAAGACTGGATGAAGCACAAGCTGGAAGATTGCCAGGAGAAGTATCAATCACCTCAGATATGCAGACGACACCACCCTGAAGGCAGACAGCAAAGAGGAACAAAAGAGCGCTACAGCATGTAGTCCCCAGGCTATTCACCGGACCCTCCAGCTCACCAACTGGCCCAAGTCGGCCTGAGCTCCAGGGCCTCCGGAAGAAGGCCTGACTCTGCCTCTTGCCTCAGTCTCCCCCTGAGTGCCACCACACCACCCTTGACTTAATTGCTTCCCCAAATGTCCCTCACTGACAGTAACCTGCGGGCATTGCCCACTGCAATGCTGTCCAATAGCTAAGCAGGACAGCTAACAGTCACTCATTTACAATTGTTTGCTTGTGGATGGGGCCCTCTGAGGCACCAAGCAATGGTTGAGCAACACCTGTTGCCTAGGAACAGGGTTGGTTGAAATGGAGCACACCAAAGGCTCACTCTTCAGGGCTGTGCTCATCCTGCTCTGTTACACTGTAAATAGAAATAGAATCACTGTGATGTTAAGGTTTCTCAAAGTAGTTTTCAACGAGGGCTGGCCTGCACATACTTGTTGGTTTTGAACTATGTATACTATATGCTGAACATGTGATCAATTGGCAGCTGTTGGAGGGGCATAGAGATTAGCGCTGGTGACAGGAATGCCTGGGGAGAGAACGGAAAGAATGATGGGCAAAAGTTAAATAAGCATGTGAAATAAAAATCTGAGGTTGGAAAGGAGTCAGTCGAAAAGATGCCAGCACACTGGACCCAAAGTGTTCTTATGTAACAGAGCAACGTGGGCAGAGCCATGCCCAGGTAGCCATGGCTGTGCCTTATTACTCCACCTCCTGTTACTAGGCAACAGGATTTGCTCAGCCATTGGTCAGTGCCTCACTGGCCCCACCCAGAAGCAACCAAGTATCAGTGAGCTACCTACAGGTACTTGCCCTGCCCAGCTATTGGTCAGCACTGCAATGGGCCCTACCTACTGAGAACGGTCAAGGAGGGGTGACTGGGGAATTGATTCGGTCAAGAGTCAGCGATGCCGTGGTGAACTGATTCTTCACATTGAGCACCTACCTTTTGTACAAAGCAAAATCAGGAATTTTTTTCTGCTAGATGGGGCAAGTTGAGTTTCCCTACTCAATATGAGAGTTGAAGTGTCCCCAAAAAATTTAGTGGTGGAGACATTTAAAACTGTCTTTGCTCTGATGTGTACTCTTATGGAGACTGTATATTGACCTTTGGGCAACAGACTGAGGATTCACCAAGTCTGGGGGTCGCTGAAGCTCAGCACAGTAGATAAAACATCCAACCTGCTCTTCATTACCTTGGTGCACTTTAAGTGCTTTCTCTTAAGTTCCTTAAGCCCCTCAGGAATCCCCAAGAGGCAGAAGGTGATCTAGAGATGAAATGCTTAGAGGACTCTGAAGGGATGAAGTGGGACAGAAAAGGTTAGGCAGATGTTCCTAGAGGGATGAAGGAGGCAAGAGGGATGAAGTGGCACATATAAGTCAAAGGATAAAGGGAATGCAAAGGAAGTTTGAAGGTCATGAGGAGAAGCACCAGGCCCCTGAATCACCACTCCCCAGAATCAGGCACACAGACATGTCAGCAGTGGGAAAGTTATATTACGGTCTCCCTCAGCATCCACTAGCCCATGTTGATGGCCACAGTGGTGCATTGTGATGTCTAAGCTCCACAAGCTACTATTGGCTGGGGCAGTGCCTAACAGACCAATCAGAATGAAGGGTGTGGCTCTTCATTGTCCTCAAAGGGTATAAGTAGGGAGGTCAGAGGCTGAAAGTCTGGGTTAGGACACTTCTTGGTACCATCATGACTAAGGCAACCAGGAAGGCACGGCCGTCAAGAAGAGTTGCAATGCGGTTTGCTTCAAGGAAGAATGGAATGAAGAAGACCCTTTGTCAAAGGAGGGGCAGAGGTCTTGTGGAGGTAAGGGGACTCCAACTAAGCTTCCGATGTTCTGCATTGACTTTGCTGCCCAGGACCTCTACCCTGTCCATGCCTGGCACAAATGTCTCCATTAGCTCACATTTCTTTCTCATGAAATCTCCCTTCCACCTCAGTTTTTATGTCCTTTCCTCCAAACTGATACCCTTGTCTTGTCTTCCAGGCACGAAGTATGACCATGAGGGTCAGAAGACCTCTACAAGGGACCTTCAGAAAGACAATCCGATCGTATGCCACTCAATCGACGAAGCCAAAGAAAACAAGAAAAGGAAACCATTTCTTCTCTGGCTGTGGAGGTAAGAAATCAAATCGAAGCTGAAAAAGGTACCAAAATATGAGGCAAAGTCATGGAAGGAGGCAGAATCCAAAGAGAAAATAAGCTCAGCCGCCCCAAAATAAGAGACCCTGGAGAAGTACAATGTTGGCAGCCAGTTAATGAATAGCAAAGTCAGACAGTTTAGACTTGTGTCTCCAGGGGTCTGCTTTGTTAGCAATGGCCAACCAAAAAGACTCTCACACTAAAAGAGTAAGCTGATGGCTGCAAATAAAATAAATCTCAAATGCTGAAAAGATGATATTTGTGTGTGTGTGTGAATTTTCTGATGGAACGCAGGGAAAGAGAAGAGGTGGGCACTGGAAACGGGAGGGATATGTGGTCCTGAGAGGTTGGGGAACAGACCCACGGGTCCCCAGTTAGCCAGAGAGTAGAGGTGTGGAGTGGGTTAGGAGTCTGCACTGATGATGGATAAATAAAGTCTTTTGTGAGTTCAACTTCTAGAAGTTTATCATGGTTTAAAAGAAAGAGAATGCAATATCAAATTTGGTGTTAACATTCAGGTTGAAATATTTTAAAAATTTCTAGGAGAATTTAAACAAATATGGAGATATATAAGGCAGAGGTTCTGATGATGAGAATCCTGTGTGTCTTCAGAAAACTATTTAGAAGCAAGCCGAACACAGATTTTCACTATCAGCATCCAAAGAATTGTGTTCAAAATGGAACTCAATGATATGTCATCTTTGATCTGGATTGCATCTGCCTGATTCACATTTTCTGGCACTCTAATGCCTGGGTGACCCCAATGATGATTCAAAGTCAGTCACTGAATGTGATTTAAAATGTATGAGTGAAAGACCCATGGGTGTGCTGCCTGTTTTTCTTTTTTTAAGTTCTTTCATTTTAATTGATTTATTTCATTTGGAGGCTAAATACTTTACAATATTATAGGGGTTTTGCCATATATTGTCATGAACTAGCCATGGATGTACATGTGTTCCTCATCCTGAACCCCCTTCCCGCCTCCCTCCCCATCTCATCCCTCAGGATCGTCCCGCCACAAAAGCCCAGAGCACCCTGCCTCATGCATCCAAGCTCTAGTGGACATCTGATTCACACACATGTTTCAATGCTATTTGCTCAAATCATCCCACTCTCACCTTCTCTCACAGAGTCCAAGAGTCTGTTTTTACCTTTGTGTCTCTCTTGCTCTCCCACATATAGTGTCATTTTTACCATTTTTCTAAATTCCATTTATATGCATTAATATACTGGATTGCTGTTTTTCTTTCTAACTTCCTTCAGTCTAAAATAGGCTCCAGCTTCATCCACCTCATTAGAACTGATGCAAATGCATTCTTTTTAATAGCTGAGTAATATTCCACTGTGCATATGAAGCATGGATGCTTATCCATTCGTCTGCCCATGGACATCTAGGTTGCTTCCATGTCTTGGCTAGTATAAACAGTACTGTGATCAATATTGTGGTACACCCGTCTCTTTCAATTCTGGTTTCCTTAGTGTGTATGCCCAGCAGCGGGATTCCTGGGTGGTAGGGAAGTTCCATTACAATTTCTGAGGAATCTCCACACTGTTCCTCTCCAGCAATTATTCTTTGTAGACTTTTTGATAGGAGCCGTTCTGACCAACGTGAGATGGTCCCTCATCGTGGATTTGATTTGTCTTTCTCTGATAATGAGTGATGTTGAGCATCTTTTCATGTGTTTGTTAGCCATCTGGATGTCTTCTTTGGAGAACTGTCTGTTTAGTTCTTTGGCCCGTTTTTTGAATGGATCATTTATTTTTCTGGAATTGAGCTTCAGGGGCTGCTTGCATATTTTTGAGATTATTTCTTTGTCCATTGCTTCATTTGCTATGATTTTCTCCCATTCTGAAGCCTGTCTTTTCATCTTGCTTATTCTTTCTTTGTTGTGCACAAGCTTTTAAGTTAAATTTGGTCCTGTTCATTTATTTTTTGCTTTTATTTCCATTCCTCTGGGAGGTGGGTCCTTGAGGACCCAGCTACGATTTATGTCAAAGAGTGTTTTGCCTATGTTTTCCTCTAGGAGTTTTATAGTTTCTGGTCTTACATTTAGATCTTTAATGCGTTTTGAGTTTATTCTTGTACATGGGGTTAGAAAGTCTTCTAGTCTCATTCTTTCCAAGTAGCTGACCAGTTTTCCCAGTACCACTTGTCAAAGAGATTGTCTTTTCTCCATTGTATACTCTTGCCTCCTTCGTCATAGACAAGCTGTCCATAGGTGGGTGGATTTATCTCTGGGCTTTCCATTTTGTTCCTGACCTGTATTTCTGTCCTTCTGCTGGCTCCATATTGTCTTGATGACTGTAACTTTGTAGTATAGCCTGAAGTCAGGCAGCTTGTTTCTATAATTCTATGCTTCTTTCACAACATTGCTTTGTCTATCCAAAGTTTTTTGAATTTCCATGCAAATTATGTAATTATTTGTTCTCCTTCTGTGATCTCTATAGAACTCTCAGAATTTGTCCTCAGTCATGATGGAGCAAGTCAAAGGATGAAATATTTTCCCTTCTTACTGGTCCTCAATTCTATTTGTCATTAAAAGACTATTCATTTCCGACGAGCTAGCATGGCTCAAATGGAAGACAGATTTCTAGTTTGTGATATATAATGTAGACATGAACTTTTTTTTCTGAAGACATCAATTTATTTATAATTATACTGATACAAATACTGATGAATAATTTAGTTTTCTTTGCAGATCAATACTAAGAATGATATGGATCCTTTCTGTAATCTCATCCCCAAACTTCTAAACACTGCAGTTCTATACATTATTCATGAATGTATGCTCCAACCTGCAATTACACTAACATTGTCAGGATATTTCATGATTTTCTGATTGAACATTTCTCCATAGCTCATAATTTAATAGGTGATAATACTTTCCTATTTATAGAAGCTCCATACCTAAACATTAATTTTTTTAAAAAAGCTTTAGATTAATAAAATTCTTACATTCAGCTGTACAACCATACCAGTACTTGATAGACTTCTGAATGGCTCTCTTACCAAGAAACCCTGTCTATTCCATAAATCAATACTCGACTTCCCTGCATTTCTTTATTAACATTATTTTTCAGAGCTAGGGTCCTTCTCAAAGAGCAAAACAAGTAGAAACTTTTCTATGGATGTATCCTATATATAGGATGTGGCCTATGTATACTATCCTGACTTACACAGAGAAACTTATAAATGTATATATTTCCATATATATGGAAAAGCAAACGTACATAGAAAAATTAAAAATAGCTTATAGTTCTAGAAGAAAGCCATGCAGAAACTAATGTTCCTCAAATTTAGGCTAAATTCATTGTGTCAGAATGCATAAACATAAAATTTTAATAATTTGACATGTGCAAAACTCCAACAAATATAATTGCATGGAAAATAACTGGGAATGAAAAACACTTATTGAAAAATCTAAAAGTCATCAGGTGAAAAGAGACACTCAATAGAAAGTGATCAAGAAAATTGAAAGACTTGAACAAAAACTTGGCCAACGAAGTCACAGCAATGGCAAAGAAGCACAGGCAAAGATGCTGAGCATATTGGCTATGACGGAAATGCACAAGGAAACTATCAAGAGTTCTAACTGCTCTCTATCTGTGAAAGTGGCTACACATTGTTAAAACATGACCACACAATAAGGTGGCAAGGTTGCAGAGAAACTGGATTATTCATACATTTCTTGTGAGAGTATAAAATGGTACAGCTCTCCTGAAAAACAATTGGACACTTTATTATACAACATGCTATAAACATGCAAGTATCATTTGACCCAGAAATTCTATTCCTGCATATTGATTTTAGAGAAATGAACATAAAAGCTTTTACATGAATTTTCTTTGAAACTTTGCTTGTAATAGCTAAAAATGTAGAGAGGCTAGAGGTCCTTCAATGAGTGAATGGTTCAACTGTGGTTGAACCATAGTTACATAACCATATCACCATACCTGTAACACAGTTAACTATACCAGATATAATTCTCATCAAAAAATGAAGAAAATATTAATACACGTAACAACTTAGATGAATCTCAAGTGCATGCCAAAGTAAAACAGAGGCCAATCTTAAAACGAAATGTACTTTATGATTCCACGTACATATTATTCTCAAAATGACAATATTAGAGACATGGAAAAGAAATCAGTAGTCATAAGGGATTATGGACAAAGAATGTAACACTGTGGTATTAGGGAATTCCTTTAAGGTTACAGAATAGTTTTCTCTCTTCAGCTGGTTATGCAAATACACATATATTTTACATACACACATACACCCAACATACACATCAATATTCATACAAAATATATTATAACCATAATACATAAGAGCTCTGAAACTCACTAATAAGAGGACAAATAATCCAATTAAATGTGGGAAAATATTTGAATAGCAATTGTTTGACATAAGATAGGAGATACGTTGAACAGGTGACTCATAAATACCTAAAATTAAAAAAAATAATTAGTAATTAGTACTGAATGCATATTAAGTATGCAAATTATATCTTGGATAAAAGAAATAAAATAAATGAGATCATAAACAACTCTCAGGAAAAGAGAGAAACTGAAACTCTCCTCAATTACTCATCAGAATGAAAAATGATAAAGACATTTTGGAAAATGTTTTTCATTGCTCATAAATATCTGCACACTGGAAAACTGTGTAATCCCTTTCTGAAAATAACTCCCGCGTAAAACATGAATTTCTCTTCACAGAAAACCGCTTCATGCCAATGTTTACTGTGACTCTATTAATAATAGCCCCAAACTGGCAAGAATTCAGATGTTATTCAAATGGTAAACCAATATACAAATGGTGCATCCATCCGAGAGAGTACTATTCCACAAGAAAATGGAACATGTTATTGATGATTGTAAGAACTTGAAAGTTTTTGAACTTAAAGAACCAGACTAGAAAGAGTACTTCCAGTATGAGTTAATAGGCACATGTAAAAATGCTGAACATCACGA